ACTCTGGGGGGAATGGCTGAGCTGAGAGTGCTGTTGTCTCTGCGGGCCTGCTGCTGCTGCTGCTCGGATGGGGACGCTCGGCATTCCGGACCGGAGCTGTTGGTGTCCTACTCTGAATCACGTGTGAGTCTTCAGGCTCCTTATGCACGCTCTCAATCTCCCGTGCTGCATCCAGCACCGCATCATGGGTTGCCAAAGCTCTACCTGCTAGAGCCATCCTAATGTACTTGTCTAGACCCTTTTGAAACTGATGCCTCCTAATTCTAGCTGTGTCTTCTCTAGGTGTGTCTTCTCAGCAGCCCACCAGATTCTAGCTGTATCCGTGAGTTGAACATCCATGAGATCTACCCACTCTACAGGGGGAATACGAGTCACTGTAAGGATAGTCTTCGTGACCTTGAGGAACTCCTCTGCTGCTAAAGGTCCCTCAGCACCAGTAAAGAAAGGAGGCCGCATATATCGAAACTCTCTAACACCAGGCTCCGAGCGAGGTGGATGCTGGTGCTGAGGCTCCTGCTGCAATTGCCCAGCTAAGAACTGCTGGTTCGTCACCAGCCCCTGAATCATCGCTAAAAGCTACTGCGGATCTGCTTCTGGCATATGACCACTGCTACTGGATGGGTTACCATTACTATGAGTACCCACCATGGTTCTGAAGGAACGAGGATCAAAAGAAAAAATTAAGGTTAAAATCAAACAATATATTTGGAAAATAGGAACTAAAACATAGTTATTAAGATAATAATATAAGAACTTAATTGTAGTCTTACGGATGGAAAATGATATGTATTTGAATCATCCAATACATTCTTACTAGTGGAAACTCGGGACCGTGACCTGCATGGGCCACCACAAAAACCTGTCACGTCCCGCTTCCCAAAATACAGGGGAATCGCAGCGTGAACAAGCCCGCGACGTATTAGATTGAGAAGAAATATATATACTATCATTTTTTCTTTTTTTTTCTTTTTCTTTTCTTCTCAATCCAATACGCTAAGCGTTAAATATATAAATCTCAGTCACAGGTTCCCGATCACAATAGTAAGAATATAAAGATAACCCAGAATAAGAAATAAACATATCATCAACAGTTCATCCCAGACATAAAATATAGGTTCAACATACCCTTACTACAACCACAGTTCAACTAGAAAATAAGAAATACATAGTCCATAATAAAAGGAAATACTAACAAAATAACCAAATCTATCCCCAACTAAAGAAAATACTATAAGAGTGTTCTATTAGCTACTACAGAAAGAAAAGCACGTCTAGGCTTCAGTTTGTTCTTCCACTCCATCGGAAGGATACTCCGGCTCGGCATACACTGGCTCTGCTTCCACGTCAAGCTGGAACTTTCCGTCTCCTAAGTCTGATGCATACCAGAAAAAAACAGGTGTACGTCAGCGTGTATGGCACACGGTAAGATCTCACATGAACAAATAAAACGATCTAACGACCCATACTATAACAATAGTAATGATGGAACATGATTCTGTAATTCTGACAATTTAAGTGAACATCTGTTACTATCAGAATGAACCGAAGTACTCAAGCCAACTGGTAATCTAATTCCTTCGACTAATCCATCCTATAACAAGTCACTGGTCAATTCTCACACAAAGTCATCACTCATATCACCGGATATCTGACTGTTCACAAATTCCCTACGTGTACCCAATACGCCGCTACACTGGATCGGTCAGAGGGCTACACGCAATCCGATTTCAACCTGGTTCGAACTCAAGTTAAACTAGAGTGAATATCTGATTCACGGACCAAAGTGACTACACTGGCTTCACTTTGACCCAACAGACTAACCCCAAGCTACACTGGATCATGGGACGAGCCTAGAAGATACATCAATAATCATATCCGATCACATGAACAAGGACTTCCCCATCACAACTCTCTTATATTCTCTAATCGAACAATCATAATTCCTATTAAATTCGGGTTCACCACCTAGACTCAGTCAACACTCACACGTGTCACTAGGTCTGTTCATGACGCACAAGATCACTAAGTCATGAACTACTAAGGTTCTTAACACATCAACAAATCATGAATATAGTATAGTATGTTAAACATGATTACACGGGTTTATGAAGCAGAAATGAGAACTATAATGAACATGAAATACATAAACAAAATACTATGGCATGAATGTAACACATGAGTGAACTTCATTATTATCTTACCGCTGGGATGTCCAAACTTCTCATACAAATTATCCGTACTTACGTATTCTCTAATATAATAATATGGTAACAGAAAACTAGAAACCGATGTCGTTTTACACATAAAATATTGCGCTCTATGACGATCAGTCATAGTATCATAAATAATAATATTCTTTTTCCAAAAATTATTCTTATTTCTCATTATAACTAATTTAAAATAAAAATATTTATATAATATAATATAATAATTCCCTCCGGCATGAAAAATAATATTTTCCTATTTTATAAATTTTCTTTAATTAATTTCATTTCGATAAAATTACATAAATTCTAATTTTAACACATAACTTGTCATTTCATATCCGTAATTCTTAAAAATACAATTAACAACATTATTAATCTAATTTTCACGATACACTCGCAATCATCATTCCACGCAGATATTCAAAAGTACGTATTATCCACAATAATAATTTAATTATATGTAATCATCATACTAACAACAATATTACCACAAAATAATTTATCTATATCCAATCATCATAATATCATGATATTAGCCATTAATTAAAAATAAGATAAATGCGAGATCTTGCCTCGGGGTATTCGTCGAACATGTCGACATCGCCGTGCGAGGCTACAGTGGTTTGACGGATCTGAAAGCTGAGGCGGCGTTAGTCACTGCTGTGATTTGGCGACGCACGTGGCGGAGGGCGCTGCTGACAAGTCATGAGGAGCCGAGGCGTCGGCAACGAGGAGGCGGTGGACTGTTGGAGGGCAGCGACGGCTCGCGTGAGTTGCAGTGGCGAGGACGGAAGATCGGGGATGAGGGTTTCGAGGCGGTGGCGAAGGAGGCGGGCAGGGTGGTTGCTGGTCTGAGGAAGAGGCAAGGGACGGCGTGGGCTGAGCTAGGCGGCGACGAGTTGGGGAGATACGGCTGCGTTTGGAGCTGAAGGCGGAGTTCAGGGGCGGCTGTTGGAGCTGAGCTCAGAGAAAAACGTGGCGACGATGGCTGGGTTGGTCGGAGTTCGGTGCAGGCGGTCAGGAGAGCTAGCTGGCGGTTGAGCTCAAATCTAGGCGACGGCTGGAGTTTCGCAACGCGGCGGCGAGAGTTGGCCAGCGCGGTCGAGCGGGTGAGGAGATGCGGTGGAAATCGGGGTCTTGGGGGTCTGGTCGGCGGGCCGTGGAGCTCGTCGGAGCTCAGGAGGTGGTGCGGCTGGAGGCGGAGGTCAGGGTTGTGGCGGTGAAGTTGGACGGAGAGAGAGGGAGAGGAATTGGTTTCTTCGTGGCTGAGGAGTGGTGAGAGAGAGAGAGAGAGAGAGAGAGAGAGACGTGAGAGTGATTGAGTGAGAGAGAGTGAGACGTGAGCTGGAGATTTTAATGAGAGAGAAAATAATAGAGAAAGAGAGTGTGTCAGAGAGAGAGATAGATTGAGTGTGAGATTGAGTGACAGTGAGAGAGAGTGAGAACTGAGGGAGATTTTAATGAGACAGAGAGAGAGAGTACGTGATAGGGTGGTTGGGAGGATGTGGGTTGAGAGTTGGGGGAAACACGAGGTGGGGATTTACGTGAATTGGGGAGAGTTTTAGGGGGAGAGAGAGATACAGAGTGAAATATTGGTGAGAGGAAAAACACAGGAAAAAATACCCCCTTAAATAATTTAAAAATATCATAAAATTTATTCAAAATAAATTTAAAAATTTATGGTCAAAATAATAATAATAATAATGAATAATTAACTTATTTATTTAAAAATTTTACCAAAACAATTAAATTTATAATTAGCAAAACTATTAAAATAACATAATATCGTATTTTTAAATTGTAGAAAATTCTAGAGAAATTAGGAAAAATACAAATACTCTTTTAGAAAAATAATATTTAATATTTAAATACCAAAAATTATTTAAACCCGTATTAGAAATTTACGGTCATTACATTGAGAGTGGAGACCCAAACCTAGAATCAAAATCAACAATTGCATGAAAATTTAAGACAGGTCATGGGTGTGGTCTGAGCCACACCAGGGTGTGGTCTGCGCCACACCAGGGTGTGACAGAATCTGCCATGTCTGCCATGGGTGTGGTCCGCGCCACACCAGGGTGTGACAGAATCTGTCCTGTCTGTCATGGGTGTGGTCCGCGCCACACCAGGCTGTGGCAGAATCTGCCCTGTCTGTCATGGGTGTGGTCTGCGCCACACCAGGGAATGACAGAGTCTGCCATGTCTGCCATGGGCGTGGTCTGCACCACACCAGGGTGTGGCAAACTCGTTTTAGAATCCTAATCTGTTTGGGATTGTGTTTTGTTATAAATAGAAACACGTCCCTTTAGGGTTTAAGAGAGAAAAAGAGCACAAAAAAGTGGGTTTTGAGGGCTCTTTGAGGTTAGAAATCTTAGAGAGAGAGAGAGAGGCCAATTGCAAGCAATGTAATTTTCTTCAAGTAATCAAAGAATTGTGTAGTGTGGCTTCCGAGGACATAGACACGTTGCCGAACCTCGTTAAATCTGGTGTGTTCTTTCTGGTTTATTTTCTTACAAGTTTTTATCTTTGATTGGTGGTGAATTTCTTTCTTGCTCAACTCTCAAACACAAGATCCGAAAGGGTACGGATTTGATTTGATTATTTTAAATCCCCAACACAATATTGACACGAGATTGATCCTGCAATTTAGTTATTAATAAGTTATCAAAAAGATATATCTAATTTGAATCGTTACTACTTCTCTTGGTTCATATAGAGGTTAGTTTGGTCCTTAGGTGCATAACCACGGATATCACTTCCATTGAAGAGGCAGATAAGCCGTAGAACCACATATAACAAGATTAATGTTGTGCTATATGCTTTTAAATATGTAATGTATGCCCATGAAATGATTGATAACTAAACTGTATCTCTAAACTCTAGAATCAGGACTTTACAAAGCTCGAAGAGAACAAAATATTTCCTATCTCGAGCGCTCCCCCCTTGTGGCCGAACTATGGATACCCTTTGCAGCCGTTGCATATCCATATATATATATATGATCGCCATTGTCCCTATCACATGTACAAAACTGAGGCCGGCCACACAGTAATAGATATTCCCCAGATATGAAGACAACACAGAAAGCCACAGGTCTTCAGACTCCAACCAACTTCAGCTGAAGAAATATATGTAAATGCTAATGAATCAGCATTGTTTCAATTGAGAAGTAAAGTGGCAGACTTCACCAACAAAAGAGAGGACTTACAAGATTGTTCTTGGGTTCTCTCCAGTAGAAACCCTGGAGTAAAACAGGGACAATGTTGCATGCTACTAGGACATAAATCATGAGAGCGTGCATGCCCATCCACTCGAATACATAGGTCGGTCTCCTGATGCCATAGACATCAACCTAGAGGTTGAGAAACAAAACAAAAACATAAAGTTATCAGTTTAGTAGACAAATAAATGAATACCGGTACATTTCATGCCAGAAATATAGTTAATTAAATCTCACAAGTAAATATATTCCTGCAAGAAGAAGCCCAGCTGCACCGGCAGTGAGGCATGTGTAACTGAACGTGTAGAGAGCCTTGTTTATATGCATACCTGAAAACGAAAAGTGCTTGATTTAACAAAATTGGTACATATTGATACATAAGTAGTCATGAAAGATGGCTAGATGATGAAAAGCTTCATACCAAAAAAGTCAAGGGAAAAGCCTAAGGCCATAAGGGAGAAGGATGGCACCATCCAGTGCACAAGCCTCTCTTTATGATCCTATACAGTTGGTAATATGATTAACTACTGAATAAAAAGTTGAATCCTAAATAATCCAGAATAGAAGGCAGAATTACCTGCAAATGAACGATAACATGCCCAAACTGTAAACCTATCAAACAGCTGACCATTGCCATCACAGAACTGCACAAGTGTAGACAAAGAGATAATTTCAACAAACAGGAAGCTAAACAGAATATAAAGAGATCATGATATGAAGAAAGCGTGAAAATACCTTAGAAGGCCTTCAGGATCAAAAGGAGCTTGACACCATGAGGGAGCATCTACTGGAAGCGGTCCCTTAGCTGGAGAATTGATGCTGCATTGCTTAGGAAATAAGAGAAAAACATTGTTATGATCCTGCACAGAGAAAGAATAAAAAAATGGAAATAATGCCATGTTACCAACCTTTGTCCGAGCATAAACAGGTCGCTTGTACAAATGTTGAATGCCCATTATGTTGCGGTCAATCATTCCAACAGCATTGCAAGCAGGACTTGTGTCACCTCTGACTCCACATTTCACCTGATTATGATGAAGACCTTCTTATATGGAAAGAAAGAAAAAGAAAGAGAAATACAAATAAAAATAAATATAATAAATGTGAAGTTTATGTCTACAGTATAAGCCATAAATAACGTATACGGTTTTATATCCTAAATAGGCTTAGCATGTTTCTATACATGAAGAGAAGTAATTAGGACATCTAAGTTGTTTCATGTTATATGGTAAGCATAAGAGAAAATAAAGAAGAAACATACTGAGAATGAATTGATTGATCCTTGCACTGATATCTGATACTCCCAGTCAGGAACATATAAACCATATAAGAGGGTGATATAGACCACAGAAAGTATCGAGGCCACCAACCTAATAAAAATGAAAAAGAAAATGCAATTACAGAACAGTAACAAAGCTATGAAGTAACTGAAATTTCTGGAATCCGCAATATCGTTTAACTTTGATAACACATTTTACTTGATTCCTTTATGTAGCACATATAACTGTACTGATTTCTTTTATTATGCTTACAAAAATTGATTTTCAACTTCCAAGCATAATTGGAAAAACAAAAATGCATTATTATAAATGCTACTTCAAACAGTCAAAAAAGAGCCGACGAACATGCATGCATTAATGTAATATCTACCCATTAATACTGTGAGAAACTAAGAAAAAAGAAGCGTACAATTGAAATCGGTATCTCTTGAGCAAAGACCATCCAGAAATAACCTCATCATCACTTTTGAGCCAAATTTCACATATTGCTGCCAATAGGTATGCAATTGCAATTCTCTACAGGAAGCAAAATATTCTAATTTAGTAACATGATTCCCTTAAAACTTGAGAAATTAAAGGACATATCTGCAGCTCCGGATGTAAGAATTACATAGGTACATTGACTAATCACTGGATCAAATATGATTATGTATCCAGTATCCGCTACCAACATGAGTTGGAAACATATGAGTTATGAATGGAAATATCAAAATTCATAAATTTATAGCAGCTGTAACATTTTTATTTACCATGATTCAAAAATTATTAACAAGAGATATTAATGAAAAGCAGCAAGCAGGAAACATAAACTACCTGCAGCACACCCATCAAGCGCATGGTCAAAAGATCAACACCATAAGTTAAGTTATTGACACCATGGAAGTAGCCACCTGAAACAATAATATTAGAAGAATGCATACAACTTCTATACCTTGAACAAATATCAAAGTGCCCAAAATGATAAAGAAAATAACGAGTGCTTGCATACCTTGAAGCACAAGACCAAGGATTAACAGCTTGAGCGCTCGAAGCATAGCCTTCATTGTAGCTACAGCTCTGTTTGATACTCTCTGCACAGGATTACTTCCAGTTAACCTCTCAAAGGTCCAAAGTTACCCACACTACCATGCTTTTAAAGTTTACGGCTCAACAATAATATAAACTCGCAGACTAATACCACTAGTAAAGCCTTGAAGAATAGGTGATAAAACCAAACGTAAAAAAACAGATATGTAGTTTTTAGCCATACCTTGTATGCAAGAGTTAGTGCAACTCCAACTATAAACAGAAAAAATGGCATTACAAAATCTGCAAGAGTTACATTATTCCACGGTGAATGATTGATTGCAGGAAAAATTCCACCAACATTATCGACCAAAATCATAAGCTGCAAAAGAAAATGCTGAGTTAAGCTGAATTCGTCGCAGATGATCATGGAATATGGAAGAATATTTCATCAATTTGTTTGATAAGGACTTGTTTGACAAAAAGAGTAAAATTCTGGTCCAATCTATTTGATGACTGTTAGCCAAAAAAGAAACCAAGTGACCATTTCAACCATTAAAATTCTTGTCCAACTACTTATGACAGGGGATTCATCTCCATATCACATCAATTAATTTTTGTAAGTTCTAACAATAACACATGTAGGCTCTATATATTGTTCGCAGACATGTTGATACCAAGAATTTCCCAACTTCAAGGTATGAAAGAAAACACCAACCATAGAACTAGCAAGCAGTTTAGCATTTCCTTTTGTTCTGCATTTTTCTCATTAGAATGCATCATATTCCTATATAACATAGATGTACTCGGACTCTGTACTAGAATGAGTGACAACGGTTTGACACTTACTAGGCCAAGAGATGAGAGATAAACCCAGAAAAATACAGAAGCCAGTAGTGGAATGTCGAGTGTGTGCATCATCAGCCCATTCAGCATCAAAATATGCACGAAGAGACAAAGAAGAGTCTGAAGGGAAAAATAATATTGGGTTATAGTGCCACGGAGATATCGAAGAACCTGAATGAGAGCTGCATAGTGAATGAAAGTTGGACTACTGACAAACTAGCTCAAGATGTGTACTACATAGGCGATATCCGGACGTGTTGCTGATAGATAAACCAATGCTCCGACAAGTTCCCGATATCAAGTAGGCTGAGATAAGGGATCTCCATCATCATGTCGAAGCTTCAAGTTTATTTCCATCGGTGTGGAGAGAGGAGTGGGAGAAATGAAAAGATCACTGAGAGTAGCACGCTCAATAATGTCTGCAATGTACTTCTGCTGAGAGAGAAGATAGCCACAAGAGGAGGAAGCAACCTTAATACCTAAAAGTAATGAAGAGATCCAAAATCTTTCATCTCAAATTGTCTCTGAAGATGTTTCTTTAAGGAAGTAATGACAGAGGAATCACTCCCAGTGATTATCATGTCATCAACATAAAGTAATAGAATGACTGTACCGAAGGTCTATGACTGATAAAATAGAGCGTATTCAGCTAGGCTTTCAATGAAACCAATAGAAAGAAGGGATTGCAGAAAACGCTCAAACCAAGCCCGATGAGCCTGTTTGAGACCATATATAACACGACAAAGACGACAGACATGTCCTGGAGGAGAAGAAAAACCAAGAGGTGGCTACATGTAAACAATCTCAAACAGATCACCATTAAGAAAAGCATTTTTAACATCCATTTTATACAAAAGCCAATGATTTATAGCTACAACAGTAATGAGAGTGCGAATGGATGTCATTTTCGCAACAGGAGCAAAAATCTCTTCATAGTCAATACCCTACTCTTGTGAGAATCCCCGAGCTACAAGACGAGCTTTATATCGCTCAATAGAACCATTAGATCGAGTCTTGACCTTATAAATCTATTTGTAGCTTATCGGTTTAACACCGGAAGGCAGAGAAACAAGGTCCTAAGTATTAGTCAGACGAAAAGCCTCAAACTCTTCTGTCATGGCTTGTTGTCATTCTGGATATTTAACTACCTTAGAATATGAGTTAGGTTTATGTATAGAGTGGATAGCAATAAGAAAAGATACAAACTTAGGAGAATATGCACTAGTGACACATTGAGCATACCAACCAGGGGGATGATGATCTCATGGAGGATTGTGGCGAGGAGGAGGAGTCACATCAAGAGAAGCTGGCACAGATGTAGAGGGGGCATAAGTAGGAGTATCTTGCAGTAAAGGGGATGTAATAGGCGGATGTCTAGAAGATGTGGATAAATCACAAGAGTACTATCGTTTGATGTCATTGGAGTGAAGGAGGGAGTCGGTTGAGCAAACGAAGGTACAAGTTCCACTGACACAGGTTTAGTAGTGGAAGATAATGTAGGGTGTTGAAGAAATGAGAAATCTGAATCTGAGGTAGTATAATAGGAAATATTTTCAAAGAAGGTCACATGACGGGCAATATGTAGCTTTTGAGTGGTAGGTTCATAACAACGATACTCCTTGTGAACGGTGCTATAGCCAAGAAAGATACATCGTGCAGTGCGTGAAGATAGTTTATCTCGTTGATGAGTTAGAAGTAGGACAAAGCAGACACATCCAAAAGTGCGTAGAAGATAATAGCGAAACTAAGACTTGAAAAGTTAAAAATATGGAGAGGTGTCAGCTAATACAGAAGATGGAGTAATATTGATAAGATAAATAACAGTCAGAAGTGCTTCTACCCAGAGATATTGAGGTACAGATGCTGATATCAGAAGAGCTCTAACGGTGTCGAGAATGTGACGATATTTTCTCTCAGCAACACCAATTTTTTCATGAGTGTGTGGACAAGACTACTAAGAGAGAGTGACATGTGATTTAAAAATAAATTGCATTGCCGAAGAAATATATTCACAGGCACCATCATGGCGAAATATCATTACACGTTTATGAAACTGGGTGTGAATCATATTTGTAAAGTCTTTATAAATATTTAAAATATCAGAACGAGCACGCATGAGATATACTCAGATGTAGTTAGGGGAATAGTCATTAATAAAACTGACATAATATCGATAACCAGACAATAATGGTAGTGGGACAGGTCCTCAGATATCAGAATGAATCAAATCAAATAAGGCTAAAATAATTTTATTACTGGAGGAAAATGGTAGGGCAATTTGTTTAGCTAATCGACACCCAGTATAATTTGATAAAGTAGAGAATTTTAAATTTTCTAATACACCTGATTCAGATAAAAGTTTTAAGCGAGAATTAGAGATATAACCTAAGCGACGGTGCCAAAGATAAAAAACAGAGAGTCCATGACCAATGTTGGATGGAGTGGAAAGATGTAAAAACTCCAACTGATAAAGTCCATTAACTCTACGACATGTTCCAATCTTCTAGCCAGTATGATCCTAGACAACACAAGATTTAGCATTAAATAAGATAGTGCAATCGAATCTGTAATTTTCCCAATGGATAAAAGTTGCGTAGATAATTTAGAAATATGAATAACAGGCGATAATGTTAGACGATCAGAACTATCAAAACTTGAAGTAATATCACCTAACTGAGAAACTGCAAGGGAACTATCATTAGCAGTATAAATGCTTAATGAAGAGGGAGCAGGTGAAGAATTTGTAAGAATAGAGTTATCAAAGGTCATACGATGAGATGCACCTGAGTCGAATATCTAAGGAGTAGAAGTACCAGAATGAGCAGACAAGATAGTAAATCTGAGCTGGAGGCAGCACCACTAAGCCTAAGATTTTTGGTTATTAATGCGATAATCTCTAATACCTGTTCAGAATAGAGAGGGCTAGAAGTCTGCGGCCCTTGAGGAGTAGGGCTAACATCAGCCGAAGCAGCAAATGGGGATCGAATCTTCTCAAGTGTGGACGAGGTAGTCTTTTACAATATTTATCAATAAGATAAACTGGTTTCTTATAATAACGACAGTAAAGTTGCCGAGAGAGATTAGATGTACTATTAGAAAGACCCCGATAGGAAGAGCATTGCTGAGAAGTAGTTAGTACAATATGTGATGAGGGTAATGGCTGAGATACAATAACTGGAGGGAAGAGCATCTGAAGACGCGTCTCTTCAGATATGAACTCAGCCACGGCTTCACGGAGACTACGGAGAGGACTGCGATAAAAAATATGTCCACATAAGCTTTCAAACTCAGAACGAAGGCGCATGACAAAGTGATATAAGTATTGACGGTCATGTTATTTTTGAATTGCTATGGCAAAGGCTGGAACCATCTTAGGAACAGGGTCCTCCTTCATCTGCAATTCCTCCAAATAGCCTGATAATAAGGAATAAAATTCTTTAATAGACCGATCACTCCGACGTGCATCCTGAAGAGCTTGGTGAAGTTGATACTCGCGAGCAGCTTCAGTCTGAACAAACATGCGATTGAGAACTATCCACTGCTCACAAGATAAAGATGCTCGTCCAAGGGAGAGCCGAATAGGAATAGCTACAGAACGCATAATATATATCATGATTTGTTGATCAATACAGATCCACTGAGAATAAGTGATCTGAGAGTCATCAGTAGTGGGATCACTAGAAGTGACTTCCAATATGGAGGATATAGATACCGAAGGCACAGTAATAGTTTTGGATGGACAACGAAGAGATCTGTCAATATAAACCAATATTACGAATGCTCTAAAACTATACTGCATAGTGAGAGACCATGCAGTGTAATTTTCGATATTTGTAAGTTGCACATCAAGGGATGGAAATGTGTGCTGTGATTTTTTTAACAAGACCTAAAGTAGTTTTTTTTTTTGAGATAAAATATGGGCTTGCTGAAGATAGGTTTTTTTTGGGGATAAAAGATGGGCCTGCTGAAGATGGGTTTGAAGGTAAAAGATCTCAAGGATAAAGAACCCTAGATCTCAGCAGATGAAGGCGATTTAAGGGCAACGTTGTTGCAGCTGATTTGCGGCCGACGAGTTCGATGGGGGCCTGAATCGACGACGAGGACAGCTAATGAGAGATCGGAGGGCTACTATGACAACGATGTCGGGCGACGATGACGGCTGGATGACGACGGCAGCGATCGATTCAACCACGACAGTGATTGCGAGCGCTGGCGGCGATTTGACCACTACAGCTGATGACGAGGGCAGCTGATGACCTGATTCGAGATCGGAGGGCTACGATGACGGCGACGTTGGGCGACGACGATGACTAGAGCTAGGATTAGGGTTAATTTGTGGTGTGGTCTCTGATACCATGTTAAGTTTGTATTGAAGAGGACTTCACACATGATAATCAGATTTACAAGATACGCAAGATATATACACACACAATCAGTAAACACTAGGAGGCGGCTGCAGCTATACACTAGAAGGCGGCGGCTACACACTAGGAGGCGATTGGTATGATATTTTTTGACATATGCCATATTGGAATATAACATGTGCATCGCCCATTCTATACACAATTTTAGGTTACTAAAACTATTTTCCTTTTTGTTTATTTACATATCTTGAAACTATTAAATTGGTGGGTCAGAAAAATCAGGAGTAGGGAGCGAAACATCAAGAACACAACGAGGCCATAAATAATAAAAATAAATAAATGAGATTCACTGATTAATGTAATTATCAGGTGATCACCAATCATTTTACATCATATTATGAGTTTCCCTAAATTAGAAGTTATTTTTCTGCGCGTCATTAAAAAAAAAATCAAAGTTTGAATCTCTAGGTCATAAACATCTGGCTCTTTTTTCATATATACAATCATATCTCAGTTAAACAATCCTAAGCATTTCTCACCACTAACTGATTGCAACTTACAGTTGACCAAATCATTGACACGTTAACTCCATATTTCTGATTTCTACTAGACCATCACATCACATAGTCACAAAAAAGAAAGATTGTTTATTAATATTAGGTAATTTCAAAAGCAATATTCAGATTATTCCTTTTCATTTAGCTTTAAACACCTCCAAGAGGCAACACCTTAACAATGATTAAGACCCCTTTATCTTTCAGGATGCTTTAAAATTGATTCCTCGGCATCTCTAATGTTCCAAATTCATTCATCCTCCCTAATAAAGAAGAGGGAAAAAATGGACAAATTTTCAAAACAGACCCATTTCATGATTTAATTGCAAAAAACGACCCGTTTCTATTTTATTTATAAAAACCGACCCAGTTGGTTGAAACTGGGTCGGTTTTTGAAAAATTTTTTCCCAAACTTCACGGGAGTTCAACTCCCGTGAAGTTTTGTTATGAGAAAAAACTTCACGGGAGTTCAACTCCCGTGAAGTTTCGTAAAGTTTTTTTTTCAAAAACCGACCTGGTTTCAGCGACAGTGCTGAAACCAGGTCGGTTTCTCTAAATAAAACAGAAACGGGTTGTTTTTAGCAATTAAATCATGAAAAGGGTTGGTTTTGAAAATTTGTCCGAAAAAAAAGGGAAAGTTCGCACCTTTCCACAAATTATCAAGCACGTATTCTTGCTTGTGATTAGGATCCCATAAAGGTAAGCACCCCTCCAAAAATGAAAAGCGTGCAGTATCTTATCCTAGCAATCACGCGCTGTTGAGTCAGGTACCCAACAAAAGTGTCCACTATAAAAAACAATTCTTTGTTATCACGTTAGCTTTCCAACCAAAGTTCCCCCGTAAATAAAAACTTTCCCAATTTTAGGTTTAAAGGTCGGAACTGACTCAAACCCAAAGCAGTAGAAGGCCTAAACCTGTGATGCACTCAAAGGGCCCCAAATCTAATCAGTTGAGATCTTTGAATTGTATCCTACAAGATACCCAAATACAATACATGTGCATGTTGTTCGGTTCACTTTTCATAAAAGTGATTGGTTTCTAATGATTTCATGAATTAATGACATGTAGAAAATTGTATTATTGCTACTCAACTCACTCATGGTTTGGTACTCTCTCAACAAGGAAAACAGTTTTGAAGTGTACCCTACAATAGACCCAAGTACAACACGCACATTCGGCGGACCCATCTAAGCCACTTTTCACAAAATTGCGTGGTGACTTATTGATGGTTTTACAAATTAATTAATGACACATTAAGTAGCATTATATTTACTTACTCATTTATCTAAGGATACTGCTTCCATACTGCCTCTACAATTATAAATAACTTATTAACGTGGATAAATCTAACATTTTTTTTATTTTGGAGAATAAATCGATATAATAGGATGATTTAAAGGTTAATCCCATATTGACCCCCTATATTATCACCCAATTGCGAATAAACCCCATGCAGTTCTATTTGTGTGAAAAGATCCATGAGTCATTTTTTTTACTCTTAAAATCGTTAAAAATGCTTTAAGGAGGCAGTTCTCTTCGTGAGGACAAACCGCCAATTTCTAATTTTTTTACTTTTAAAAGATTCGAAAAAACTCCCGAAGAAGGGTGTATCCGTACGTGCTTGGCCAATACTACAGGGATCAATTCACCATAAATAGAATACAATGGGCCCATTCACAATTAGGTGATATTAAGGAGACTATTTGTAATTAAATCCATTTTAATTTATATAGGGAGCTAAAAAGGGCATACATTGCTTAAACGCCTAGATTATGGATATGGACCTAGAAATGGGGTTACTTTACGAGACCAAAAATTGGGAGATTAGACAAAAACAACTGGTGCTATGTTTATATGTGCCCGTGAAGGAGCCACGTGGTTAGCTCTATTATATCGTACGTTTGGATCGATATGCTCTTCTATTCTATTGTCGGTGAATGAAAATCAGAAACTAAAATTAAAAGGACTAGCCAACTCACATAACAATTAAACTACTTATTCTAGAATAACATAACAATTAAATATTGGAGAAAAAATAATACATAAAAACCCTAATTTTTGAGTTACTTCAGAGAATTTTAATGGATTTTCTTAGCTATCTAAGCGCTGAGAAATATTTGGGCTTAATTTCACATTACCCCAAGAACTTTAGTGGGTATTTAATATAACCCTCTAAGCTTTTTTTTATCCAACATAACCTTTGCGGTGCCTCACAAATTCCTCCTTTAACTATAACAATTTCTTATTGGGCCCTCGCACTAGTAACTTGCAAATAGCTAACATGTGCTTGACAGTAAATTCTCAAAGTTTGTCATCTACGGGCAATATACGACCCCTCCTAAATTTGGAATATTTGGAAAATACATGTAACGAGGTGTAGGTGAGAAATGTTCACAGTTCACGAAATTTTGTGAGACGCCCTTAAAGTTTAGGATGTTTTGTGAGATAAATAAAGATTAGGAAGGTTACGTGAAATTAAGCCAACCTTTAATTTTATGAAGTCTCACATGCTTCAACGACTCTCCCAGAGGCATTTCGTCAAGCCCCATTGACGAGATACTAACTACTCTCTTTCACGCAATTCATCAAACACCATCAACGAGATCCAAAGAGAACCAAATTTTGAGGACACGTGGCAAAGACCCAGTGAAGGGAGAAGACGCCCGATAGCTGGACTCGCCTGGATTGAACGAGTGAGTCCCAATACATCACATATCTGACTCATAATACTCTTTGTTTTTATCTGTCATCACTCAAAAAAAAAAAAAATTCAAGACGAAGAAATTACTAGGTGACCACGGACTTCTGCCGTTGGACGGCCTGATTACCACAGATGACATGTGGCAGCCCAACTTGAAATTTTGACACTTGGAAATACTAAAGACCGTACTTTAAAGAAAATTATATGATCAATTTTAAATCAGCATTAGATATAAATAAATTAATTATAGGAATCTATGTAAACAAGTAAGATGTATCGGTACAAGTAAAATATCGAAGCATTTCAAGCGGTAGAAAGATCACCCCACGGAAATTATGCTGAACACGTGTAAGTGTGTCCTTGCCCTCTTTATATGATTCTTTATAGAGGGGTCATCAAGATTATAGTACCATCTATCAGATATTTTTCCCAACTAGAAGAAATAGTAAATAATTAATGCTCGGACAGGACCAACGTGCAAAAGTTCCGATCTCCCCATCTCACACATGGGTGGGCCCCACGAAGCCTCTTTCTGGTACCCATTAGGCGGGAGCACAAACAAAACAAAAACACTAACACCGGCACCGGAATCTAAACTTACCACCCTCATTCTTCGCCTTAATGACGAAAGTGCCACTCCCACCGTCAAAGCGGCAGTGGCACAGTACGAAGATTAACAAAAAAAGCGGTGGCATCCTAGTAAATGAGAAGAATAGGCGCCATAAAAGGTCGCCCCTTCCCTCTTCGGGCAATGAATGCCATCGTCTTGGCAACAGATCGAAGCCTGATCCCATTTAGCTATTTTTCATTTTATAAACGAATTATTTTAAATAAAAGATCTCATTTTGGCGGCGGGGTTTCTTGATTCGAAACCAACTCTTCATTAATCCTTATAACTAAAAAAATAACAAATGAAGATCGAGAACCGTACCGCTACGGTGAGCCCTCGAAAAACGTCGAAGACACTAGTCTCTGTGGCGGCCGGCCGGCGGCGGAAGCCGCGACTGCGCCAAAGGGAAAGGCTTCTTGGGCTGTTCCAAGACGTCGACGAACGCGAGGCCGGTGCGGATCTCTCTTAACATGCGACCGCCATCGATGGAGAGCAGGTTCTTGTTGGGATCACCGATACCGTTGATCTCTTCGCCCTTTATCAACTCGTACTTCCCCATTGTTTATTAATCCAAGGAAGATTGAGTTCGATTAGAAATTGTTGAATTTTCTCTTTTTTCTTTTCCTTTAAATTTAGAGAGAGGGAGAGAGAATGGACGAAGGCCCTTTCTCTTCTCTCTCTAACCGCTCGTTTTCTGTTCTTTCTCTCTTCGTCTTTCTGCTGCCCTTTCAATTTATAGTGCGACGGGTTAAACGTGGTATTATCGGTGCGGAAATGGGTGCAAAATGTTCGGTGCGTGTAAGATTGGGTTTTGGGGTATTTTTAATGGTTAACATCACATAACCCCTAAAGTTTGGGGGTGTTGTACAGAACTCATCTAAATTCTGATTATCTCCTCTAACGAACTTTGCGGTGTCTTAAAAACCCTTTGTGAACTTCAGACTTTTCTCATCAGACCCCCGATATTTAATACGCCTACTCACTCCCTAGCTACCCTTACTCTTCACATATATCCATCATTCTCTGGTTCACTTGGAAAGCAAGATGCAGCACAATTTTTACAAACAAGCTTCATATATAATATACGCTCAACCCTCACTCTCGTTGAAGTATACTCAAGTTTACGTTCTCCAGGCATGACCCTCAATCCCCCTCATGGACGAAGCTTTTGGGCTCCTCACTGGACTTCATGTGGCCAAACTCGACGATGGAGGGCTATATATATATATATATATATATATAATATGATTGAATCTGACTGCTTAGACTTGGTTCTAATTAATTCCATTTCGAGCACTCTTGGGAATTGTTGGCCACTATTTAAATGTTTTCCTATTTCTTTTCGTTAGCCGTGTTCGAAGATTATCCGCCAATATATTTTGCGCTTAGAAGTTAGCTCACATTGCTTGCAAATATAAATGCACATCCTTTTGTGATTCTTTGTTAGGTTGGTCCAAGCCATATCTGTACTCAACTTCTTACTGATGCGATGTAACTGAATCTTTTGATTCCTTAAAAAATTATAGAGCGATGGGTTAAAAGGTGGTGTTATGGTTGTAAAACTGGATGCAAAATGTATGGTGCGTGTAAGACTGGGTTTTGGGGTATTTTTAATGGATAATTTCACACAACCCTCTAAATTTTGGGAGTATTGTACATAACTCATCTTAACTTTGTTTATCTCCTCTAACCAACTTTGGGGTGTCTGACAACCTTTCGTGAACTTTAGGTTTTTCTCATCAGACCCCCAATTCACAAATAGCTAAAATTTTATTAAGAGTAAAAAACCCAAAAGTTAAAAGAAAGCGCATGTTCTTTGTAAAATGATAAATGATAAAGTTCAATTTTTTTTCTCTCTAGAAAATTTTAGTTATTTGTAAGTGATATATTGGGGGTTGGTGGGAATGTTCTGAGTTTATGAGCGTTTTGCGAGATCACAAAATTTAGGGGATTATGTAAAATTAATCAAAATTTTAAAGAGTTAGAGAGGGTTTGGGGAGGCTTATTTTTTAGTCAAATTAGCTTTTAAGCTAGCTTTTTTATTTCTACCCGTTTGGTAAAATAATAAATAAGTTAGCTTATAAGTGTTATTTTTAAAAGCTAGTCTACCTCAACTTTTAAAATACTAGCATATAAGCTCACATGTATAAGCAAAGTTTGACAGAACAAATTATTATTCTACCCAAATAATTTTTATAATATTTTTATCATAAAAGTTAAAAGCAATTAAAAGCCAACATAACTTAAAGCTTTTAAGAATAAGTTTTTCCAAACACCCTCTATGTGAGTGTGTGGGGGACACAACGTATTTGCAGGCAAAGTTGGCTGGTTATATTTTTGTTCGTTTGGGTGATTATAGAATTGTTAAGTAATTGATTTTTTATTGGAATGATTAATATATCTTAAAGTGGTATTTCTTTTATGTCTTTGTCTACAAATACGTTGTATTTATTCGCATCTTACGCATTTTCCAGATTGGGCCTGTAAAGGACCAAATAATATATTTTTTTCCAAAGTTCTCAGGTATAGCACTATACATTAAATTTTTAATTCTTTCCGTAAAATCTTCAAGATATTCCATAAGAAATAATAAAATAAAATCTTCAAGATACAGTGAAATATGTAGGATCTGTGGAAGCACAAACTAAATACTGACCAATTTGCAAGTCCGTACAAATTACAACACCAATCTCTATATACCAAGAGATCTTCTCTCAAACCCAAGAGAAACCTTCTTTGAAGAAATGTACAAATCCCTATAAGCTTTGATGTGAAAGTGAAATGCAGCAGTGGCTTAGGAATTTAAACTCTCTGAAAAATTGCCTAAACAATTTCTAGTAATGATGGAGAACAAAGACAATCTCAGAATTTTCTTTTCTTGACAATTTGAATGAGAATTTGTATCAAGAGAGAATCAATTTGATCAAAATTCGAATCTTGTATGTACTATGTCACTCATCAAATTCTAATGTTCTGACCTATTTAAAGCCTTAGAAATATTCAAATTTTAAACTAAATTAATATTTACAAATGGCTATAAACGATCACTAATTCAAATTTAGAACAGTTAGAAAAACTGTCTTGGTAGTCGACTACAAGGCTTAGTAGTCGACTACCCTAAGTCTATTTAGACTCCGTGAAGTCAAGAAACAAGTTAGTAGTCAACTACTAAAGACATTAATATTGTAAAACATAAGTTTCTGTAAGTTGAAACTGATAATGAGTAGTCGACTATTAAGGAGAGTAGTCGACTACTCTGTAAATATAAAGTTTCTGGATATTTGACTGAGGATTCTATAGTTGACTACTAAAGGGATTAGTCGACTACTGATACTATGATATGAGATATTTAATATGTTAATTTTGAGACACATTCTATATCTATAAACTCTAGTAGTTAACTTAGGGAATTTCTATAGTTAACCACACACTAAGTATGTGTTAATGTGTTCTAAATACTTTCTGCATGTATGTGGTGTGACTGATCAAGGCTTTTACAAGAATCTAAACAAAGAAAATGTAAAATACAATTTGATAATTTACGCACATATTCTTCTTTGCTTGTCTTGTTGCCTTGAACTCATCTCTGCACTTAGTTCACATATCTTGAGCATATTGGATGTTTATATTTTGTTATCTGCATTTATATGTTAGTGTATATATAATACACATAGTAAATAAATTGTTATCATTAAAATTATATCTTGGGGTCAATATATCCAACATTCTCCTCCATTTTGATGATGACAAACAAATTAAGCACTAGTAAGAGTTAGTAATATTATATCACATAAAATAAAAATATTATGAATCTTATGATATCCAAGACTTACCCCCACTGCATCAAAGCATATTAGAATCCCCCTGCATTAATGCATATTAGAATCTCATGTATCAATCATATGCATCATAGTATATCTCCCCCTTTGTCATTAACGAAAAGAAATAAACATTATTCTAGGCATGCAAGAATTTTATCTTCATGAGCTAAAACTTCAAATAAATCATTCAAATTGTGAACATAATCCATGAATTCACCCATCCAAATAGGTAGGCAAAGACTTGCTATAAAGATCAATATTCCGATAACTTCCATCGTCACAATCTGCGTTTAAAAATTTTTTTATCTCACATTATAAGAAAATACTCTAGTTAAACACAACATATAAAACATAATTCATTAAATACACACAGTACGAAATTATATAGTGCAATTGTTTGAAAGCAAATTACTACATAAAGTTTGAAACAAACTAATACTAAGCATGAAAACATGCAATTGTTTGAAAGCAAATTACTACATAAAGTTTGAAACAAACTAATACTAAGCATGAAAACAAACTAGTACATAGTGAAAATGGAATGCATGCTCTCTAATAAGAAGGGCCTGGAGGAGGCGGAGGTCCATGGAAGTATGGATCCATCTTGAGATTCATTTCATGCAACATCTTCATTATGTCTTGTTGATTATCCAAAATTTCTTGTTGACTAGTTTCTAGATTAAGGATACGGGCAGAAAGAGTGTTGTATTGTGCATCAAAGAAATAAGATGGTGTAGGATCTACTTGCGATATAGGAGGTGTTTGGGGTGTTGAGGGAGGTGCTTGAGTTGAATATTGTGGAATATCTTGAGATGGGTGTGGTTCTTCTTAAGGATGAGTTTCATGAATTTAAAAGTTTGTAAGTTTTATCCTAGCAAGAGCATTTGAATCAAATAACTCAACTGATCGAACCATTGAATTTTTAGACTCGACATTGTAAAACCCCATGAATTTGAAAATATGTTGATAAATAATAATGAATATGTTATGTGGTGATAAATAGCATTTATTAATGTTTGAGTATGTTAGGAATTGATTTGAGATCAATTCAATGTATATATGTGAATATAGGAGTAAAATCATGCACTATATACACGAGACTGAAATATGGAAAAATGACTAATTAAGAGTTTATATGTTTTACACAATGATGAAGTTGGAATCTAGAAAAACTCAAAAGATAAAAGTTGTAGGTCTCTTCAACAATTTTCCAACAAATCTTAAATCACTTCATTCTGAGATCGGATGAGAAAGTTAGAACCAAAATATTGAATGTGATTTTCTCAGTCAGACTAGGTTTCCTGGTTCGGGTCAAATGAGTTTTGTTTCGGGTTTGCCTCAATAAATACCTGTGTTTTTTATGAAAATTCTTCTCTTTGATGATATCTCTGATCCATATCAGTCACCCTCTCCCCTCAAAAATCCTAGATCTTTTTCTTATGAATTTTGAGAGCTTTGTGAAGCAAAATACTGACACGATGGCAATATCATCGACGTGTGGTAAGGGAGAACGGGTTGTTTACACTCGTGGATTGTTTACTATTTATTTCAGAGGCATGTACATGATATTAATGCAAGCTTATCTTTACCCAAA